GGCAGCCCAATCGTCGAGGTGAGTCCTGGGGCCACCTCAGTGTCCCCACCTTGTCCCCACCTTGTCCCTACCCTCCCACCTTCCTCCTCCTCACCCTCCTCCCCCTCTCCTGCAGCTGATGACAATGCCACCATCCGTGTCACCAACCTCTCTGAGGACACGCGCGAGACCGATCTCCAGGAGCTTTTCCGCCCCTTCGGTTCCATCTCCAGGATCTATTTAGCCAAGGATAAAACCACTGGACAATCCAAGGTGGGATTTTTTCTTGGAGGGAGGAGAAGACCCTTGGAGATCTTCTCCAACCCCTGATGTCCTCCTCAACCTTTCTCCTTCCACCCCAGGGTTTTGCCTTCATCAGTTTCCATCGCCGCGAAGACGCCGCTCGGGCCATCGCCGGAGTCTCTGGCTTTGGCTACGACCACTTGATCCTCAACGTGGAATGGGCCAAGTAGGTGTTGGGAAAGGGCTCCAAGGATGGGTGGGGGGAACTGTAGAAGACCCTCCCACCTTCTCCCATCTTCTCACCACCCTCCTTCTTCCCACAGACCTTCCACCAACTGATGGAAGCTCCTCGGAAAAAGCTGCCGACCTTCCTAAATAAATCCACAGCTTCTGGTATGAACCCAAGTGTTGGGTCTCAACTGTGGGGAGGGTCCAGAAACCTCCTCATCCCTGTCCCCACGTTGTCCCTGTCCCCACGTTGTCCCTGTCCCCACACCCAGATTGTCCCCACAATGTCCCCGTTCCTTGAGTTTTGAGCTCAATCCTTGGAAAAAAGCCCACGTGACACAAGGTTGGGTTGATGGTTCCACCTTTAATTCTGCTGCTTCTTGTGCCACCTGCTCTGGGGGTTGGGGGAGGGGGGAAGATGGAGCAGGTGGTCTCCAAAGGTTCCATCCCAGTCTCTGGTGGTGGGTCCTGGGAGATGGTGCTGAGGGACATGGCTTGGTTGGTCAAGTTGGGTTGAATGGTTGGACCCGATGATCTCCAAGGTGTTTTCCAACCCAAATGAGTCCATTGGTCCCGTCCCTAGAGGTGCCCAAAGCCCTGGAGATGGTGCTGAGGGATGTGGTTGAGTGGTGGACTTGGTTGAGTTGGGTTTATGGTTGGACTTTATGATCTTCAAGATCTTCTCCAACCCAAATGAGTCCATGAGAGTCCTCAGATGGTTGGACCTGATGATCTCCAAAGTTGGGTTGAATGGTTGGACCTGATGATCTCCAAGGTGTTTTCCAACCCAAATGAGTCCATTGGTCCCGTCCCTAGAGGTGCCCAAAGCCCTGGAGATGGTGCTGAGGGACCTGGTTGAGTTGCTTAAGCTGGTTTTGATGGTTGGACCTGATGATTCAAGGTCTTTGCCCACCCAACCGAGTCCATGGGAGCAGTGGTGGAGGCTCCATCTCTGGAGACACCCAGACCCCCCCTGGACACTGGGTGGATCTCTTGGGCCACTGAGTGGACCTCCTGGGCCACTGGGAGAAGCTCCTGGGCCACCACATCTGGATCCTGGGCCACCAGAGGGAGCTGGGCCACTGGGTGGATCTCTTGGTCCACTGGGTAGAGCTCCTGGGCCAGTGGGAGGTGCTCTTGGGCCACTGGGAGGTGGTCCTGGGCCACCACATCCTGATCTCAGGCCACCGATGGGAGCTCCTGGGCCACCATGGGGAGCTCTTAAACCACCGGAAGGAGCTCTTGGGCCACTGGTGGGAGCTCCTGGGCCACCATGGGGAGCTCTTGGGCGATTTGACACCT